ATATATATATATATATATATATATATATATATATATATTGGGGCTTTCTTTCCATGCATTCAAGCATGCACATCACAAAATGGGGCTTTCATGGCATGCATGCATGTAAGTAGATCACAAAGTTGGGCTTTGTTTGCATGCATGAATGCATGCATGCGTGCATGCATTGCTGTTTATTTGTTTTTCCTTTTCGTTTTGTGTATGCGCAGCCCCAATAAGACATTATCTGTTGGTCTTGAAGGACGCATGCGATTAAAAGTTTTAATTAATAAAAAAATAGAAGAAGACCCAGCTAAAGCAGTAAGCAACATCTTGCTGCTGCTGCTGCTGCTGCTGCTGCTACTGTTGCTGCTGCTGTAAAACAGCAGCAGCAGCAGCAGCACAAATATATATGTATATATTTGTCATTAAATAATCATTATATAATTAACCTTACCTTTATATTATAATGACCAACACGAGCCCACCTACCCTATAATAGAAAATAAAATAAATAAAATAAATAAATAAATAAATAAATGTATATATGTATATATTTATGTGTATATATGCATGCAGTATGGTATATTATTAAGTAATGGATTTAATAACTTTAATATTCGTTGTGCAAAAGTTGTTGAATTATTGGCAATTTCTTGGATATTTAATTTATGGCAAGAAGTTGTTAATATTATTATTAATAAAGAAAATAAAAAAATATATAATGCTACTCATAGAAAAAATAATACAACATATGCAGCAACAACACCAACAACTCCAGCAGCAACAGCAGCAGCAACAACAACAACAACAACAACAGCAAGAGATAGAGGAGAAGGAGAGGAAACTAATGATGGGTCATATGCCATCAATTACTCACAAGGCGGTGAACAACTGCAGCAGCAGCAGCAGCAGCAGCAGCAGCAGCAGCAAGAAGAGCAGCAACAGAGCAGAAAACGAATCTGTTTAGGCACCAGCAGGAGACGCAGCATCTGTGACGTTAATTTATCATGTAGAGATAATAAAGAGGGAGAGGCAGCAGCAACAGCAGCAACAGCAGCAGCAGCAGGTACATCTAATGACGGTAGTCTGCTGCAGCTACAGTGGCAGTTAGACAATACAGCAGAAACAGAGACAGTAGGCGTTAGCTTCCCCTCACCAGCAGCAAGAGATAGCCAGACAGCTGCATGCAGTTCACCAGCATATGGAGACACAACAGCAGTAGCAACAGCAAGAGCAGCACCAGCAGCAACAACAGCAGCAGCATTAGCAGCAGCACCAGCAGGAACAACAGACGCTTACTTCGATTGGGTTGCTGAGGAAGAAGAATCAGCAGTTGAATCGCCCTCGAAGTCAACAGATGGAGACCCGCAGCAACTGCAGCAGCAGCAACAGCAGCAGCAACTGCAGCAGCAGCAACAGCAGCAGCAGCAGCAATTTGGTCGCATTAGTGAATTGCTTGCTGCAGCAAACCCTGCAGCACCAAATGCTAAGGAATTAGCAGCAGAGATTGTATTAGAGCTCCTTTGTCTTGTAGATAAAGGTTTGCTGCCTTCTCCTCCTGCTGCTGTGCTGCAGCAGCTGCATGCTGCTGCTGCTCGTCTTGGTGTTAATGTGCAACAACAAACCGCAGCAGCGGAGCAAAGAGGGGAATCATGAGGGAATGACAAATAAAAGGAAAGTTTTCCTTCTTTTTCTTCTTTTTCTTCTCTCTTTTATGGTGTATTCTAAAGAAAACTCTCTTTAAATACTTTTCTTCTTTTGCAGTGTATTGAGACTAAATAGTTAGCCCTTAATAGAGTAGCTGAATAGTTGAATATTTAAATAAATTGATAAAATAAATAAAAATATACTCTTGTATTGGTCCCTATTTTCCCTGTTGAATAGATGAATATTTAAATAAATGAATGAATAAAAGTATAGTCCTTTATTAGTCTTTATTTTGCTGTTATAGTTATATTCTGCTGGTAGATTCCTAGAAAAGGTCACGAAACTTTTGCAAGAAAAGGATGAAATTCAGAGGAAAGAAACCTCAACCTTTCGACGCCTTGACGTCACCTTTCCCCTTCTGTTGCAGTTATTCAGTAGATATTATTAAATATAATTAAAATATCATTATTTTGTTTTATTAATACTTCTTTTTTATACATTAATCGGTCAACATTTATGTTGAACAATATCTTAAGGAAACATTCATATTTCAGGTGTCTGTACACCTGGTGATGCAAGTTGAATTGACAGATATGACGAAAAGTTGAATAGTGCATTGAATAGGAGGGAAAGCGGTCTTTTTCTGTCCTCTTTTAATTCTTTTTCTTATTAAAGACAATAATAAATGAAAGAATGCATGCAATAAGGGCAATAAGATGCATAGCAACAGCATTATTATTATTGCCAAGTTATACAAGATGTGATTATACAGAATGGTGTGAAGCAGCACCAGAATTAGGGAAACCTGAATTTGCTGTTTGTGTTCCTTTTGGTGATGGTACAGCAAATTATATGATAGAAATTCTTCCTT